TTATCACCAGCTAGTAATACAAATAAGAGTAGATGTCTGTGTTCCAATCTGATTGTATTATAAACGCTGTAATAACAACTGGCTATCTAAGTATTTTAATAAGTGATATAAAGTGAACTTATATATCCAGTTGACCTGGACTAGATTATTGACAAGTGTAGATGATCCTGCCTTGGATCTTTAGAATTTCTAATAATCCGGCTTATAGATCATTAGATTATTAAATAATCTAATGATCTGTATCTAATTAGTTAGTCGGTCCGACGTTTATCCGTAACCGTCTAACCGGTAGACCCATTATCGCGACTATAAAAGCCAGGTCGTAACACAATATCCCCCTCCTGTTGGTCTTATCCTTAAGACCTTGCTATAAGTAGCGCGTTCCCCACACATCCGTAGGTAGGTGCTCCTTATCTTGTTTTCATCATTTCTATTCAGCTGACTTACTTAACTATGACAGATCGTGTTACCAAGAGTCTTCATCTAAAAACGCGGAAGCGGAAGAGTCTTTTTGAGTCTGTCTTAAGAGGTGCCGAAAAAATAGACAAGCGCTGTTCCTTCTGTATTTCAAAGAAGTTTGATGAGTGCTTACTGTCTCCAGACGATTCTTTACGATGCTCAAATTGTGTACGACTTAACAAATCATACTGCGACGTAAGAGGTCTGACTGCCGATCAGTTGGATCAGGTATCCGCTCAACATTTCCGATTAGAAGATAAGCTTGAATCTGCTGAGGATGCCTTAGCCGAACTGGCTGTAAAGGTTTCTCAATTGCGAAAACAAAAGAAGATTTAGTACGAGCGAATGCGTCGTACCGTTGCGCGGGGTATCACCGATTTAGATAAGTTGGATAGGGTTGAGCGCGAGGAAGCGGAGGCCGCTCGTCAGGCTGCAACATTATTACCTAATCCGACTGATCCCGTGACTGCGGGTTCCGCGGTTGACGCTGTTGATTGGGGCGCTTTTGACCCTTCTTTGCTAGACCTAGACTTCGGTGGAAGTCATTCACAAGGTCTTTCGAGTGTTCAAGGTCCTCAATAGTTTGCCATGATTTTTCTGTTTCGTCATAGCCTTTCCATTTTACCAGGTATTCAGTTTGTTAGGTGTCTTTGTTAAATCTTATTATTTTAAGCTTCTCAACTTCGTATTCAAGTTCTTCGCCTTAAATAATAATTTCGTCCCGTATAACTTCACCTGTTTCTTTATCTACTAATGCTTTTTCCAGTAGCGAAATATAAAAATTCGGATACACAGTTCTTCCTCGTTTCCCTGGGGCGAGTAGAAGATCTATTTCGTAATTGATAGGTCCGATTTTCTTTGTGACTTTGTAAAGTCTAAGTTTCTTAAAATCAAGCTTATCGCTTGGCCTATTTATCTTAATGTTTGGCTGCTTATCGTTTCGCAAGTGTTAAAGTAGGTAGACCATGTCTCCCTCCTTGAAGGTTGGTCCTCCAATCCTTCTGGTATCTGCGAATTTAGCTATTCGTTGTCTAACGAATTCGAGTTGTACTCGCAATTCTTAATGCAGTTCTTTAAGTTTATCAGCTACAATAATAGCTTTGCTGGCGTTTTCTCCTTTAATAGGTGGCCGATGTAGATCTAGTTTAAACCCGTAGTTTACGTAAAACGGTAAGTAATTTATAGATTCTACTAGCGTGCTGTTGTAGGATGCTTAGGCGGTTGGTAAGTATTCTACCCAATCGTCTTGGTCGAAGTTAACGTAGTATCGTAAATATATTTCGATGATTTAGTTAATTCGTTCCGTTTGTCCATCCGTCTGGGGGTGGTAAGCTGTGCTGGCTTTGTGTTTTAATCCGATTCGTGCTATAAGTGATTACCAAAATTTTGACATAAATGTTAATCCTCTATTGGAGATGATCTCGTTTAGCAGTCCATGGTTTGCGTAGATGTGTCGGAAAAAAACATAAGCTAAGTCTTCTGCAGAGCTTTTCTCCGTTACTGGGATAAAGTAGGCCATTTTCGAAAGTCGGTCGACTACTACGAAGATGCTGTCCCAAGTGTTATCGGTCATAGGTTCTCTTAAAGGTGGAAGTTTCACGATGTGGTCGAACGTTATTAATTCCCAATTCCTGACTGGAACCGGTAAGGGTTGCAGTTTTCCATAAGGAAGATGGCGTAATGCCTTGGCTCGTCCGCATGTTATATATTCTAACACAACCTTCTGTACCCATTTCTTAATACCTTTAAATTTAAAGTATCGTGCGATTTGTTATGTGGTTTTTCTAATTCCACGGTGTCCGTTAAGCTTATGTACGTGGACTGATTTTACCACTTTGCTTCGCAAGTCTTCTGGTACCCAGATAAGTCCATCTAGTGTCAGGTATCCAGTATCCATAGAAACACCTTCTGGGTATTATTTATTCTCCCAGTTCTTAACGTGTTCCTTTATGTTGTTAATAATCGGGTTATCTATCTCAATTTGGTATAAGGTGTTGATTAATCGGATGACTAGGTCTCCGTACTGGTTTTTCTCCAGTATTTGGGCTTTGACTTCCGGTATTTCCTGGAAGTGGTCTGGGCGTCTGCTGAGTGTATTAGCGCATCCGTTGTCTGATCCGCTGCAGTGTTTGATGATAAGCTTAAATTCGGAAAGTCGCTTATAGTACTTGACTTGTCTGCGGGATAATTCTTATGTCGTTATAAAGTAAGTGATATTCCGGTGATCCGTGAGGATTATTACTGGAAATCGACTTCCTTTACAGTAATGTCTCCAATATTGCTTGCTGAGCGCTTAGTATATAGCCAGAAATTCCTTATCGTAGATAAGGTATTTAAGTTCTGGTCTATGTAGTTTCTCAGAGAAATAGGCAATAGGCCTGAGTCTCTTCTTCTTTGTGTCGTCTGGTTGGCTGAGTACTCCTCCGATTGCGTAATCCGAAGCGTCGGTTTCGATCGTGATAGGTTTGTTTGGGTTAAACATCATGAGTACTGGCGCACTTGTGAGGGCTTGTTTAAGGCGTTTGAAGGCGGCTAGAGCGTCTCGTGTTAATTCGAATTTAACGTCTTTCTTTATCAAGTTCGTAAGTGGCGTAGCGATTTTCGAGAAGTCTTTGATGAAGCGTTAATAATAGTTGGCAAGTCCTAAGAAGCTTTATACTTGTTTAACGTTTTCGGGTGGCTTCCAGTCGTTGATCGCTTTAAGTTTCTCGGGGTCCATTTGGACTTTGCCTGGGGTGATGATATATCCTAGGAATATAACCTTCTGCGTGTAGAAGTTGCATTTCTTAGGTTCCACCAGGAGTTTGTTGTCTTGGAGTGTTTGTAATACCTTCTTAACGTGTTCCTTGTGTTCTTCCAAGTTCTTGGAGTAGATAAGGATATCGTCAAGGTATACAATAACAAAATAATCCACGTAGTCTCGTAATACGTAGTTAATTATTTTCTGGAATGTCGCAGGGGCGTTGGTTAATCCGAACCATATAACATTGCATTTATATAATCCGTATCTGGTTCTAAAGGCGGTTTTCCATTCATCGCCTTTCTTTATGCAAATAAGGTTATAGGCTCCTTTGAGGTCTAATGAAGTAAAGACCTTGGCTCCTGTAAGCTGATCTCTGATTTCCGAAATCAGTGGTAATGGCGTGATATCTTTTTTAGTTATTGTATTTAATTATCGGTAATCTATAATAAGTCGAAGTTTACCGTTTTTCTTAGGCATAAACATAACTGGGGCTCCTGCTGAGGATTTAGAAGGTTAGATGTAGCCCTTCTTCAGCTGGTCTCTAATCTATTTATCAAGTGTCTTAAGTTCAGTAGCACTTAGGTTATAGATCTTGTTGAACGTTGGGACTTTGTCGTCTATAAGCTCAATCTCATAATCCCATTGGCTGTATTCTGGTAGTCCAGTGTTAAGTTCTTCGTTGAAGACTGGCATATGCTGGAGGTCTATTAGTACGTTCTTTAAACATTCCGGTGTCTGTTGGTCTCGGTGGTATAATTCTTTGACCTTTTGTATAATTAAGTTCAGAAGTCTAAGCTGTTTCTTTTTGGGTTTCTTAACATATTCGACTGTTCTTAGGAGCTTCTTTGGCTCCTCAAATCGTACTTATTTTATAACTTTTTTCTTTTCCGTGTGTTTTTGTATTTCTTCATTTAATACAGGGGTCACCGATCCTGTCGTCGGGGATATCGTGGCATCCTGTCGATCCTCCTGATCTAGTCACAGTATATCTCTAAAATTAATTAGTTTAGGGCGAGTTCGCTATCTCGCCTGGCCTCTGATCTAGTTAATGTCGGGGTTGCGTGACTTAAGCCAATCGTATCCTAAGAGTATATTATATCCTGCGATGTTGGCAATGTTGAAACTAAATATGTCCTTGATTTTACTGAACTGGATTTTAAGGAGATCAGTCTCGCAGTCGACAGTTCCGTTATTGTAAGTGAATTATTATTTCTTAATGCTCGCAAGGGTATATGGTTTCTCCTTCTTACGATTGTCTAACTATAGGCGGTTAACCAGTTGGGGCGTAATGTAGCTTGTCGTGGCTCCGGAGTCTATATAGACTGTAATCGGATGTCCTTCTAAGGTGCCTGGTACTTGGAATTTTCGTAGTTTCTTTCCTCCTGTGAGGGTGTTTAGGTTGTGGTAGGTTGCATCGTCGGCGCCGTCGTAGTAATTATTGCCGTAGGGGTTAATATCGATGTCATCTAGGTCTGAGGTGATCCATCCTGGTTCTTTGTTTCGAATGTTATAGCGTTCGCACCAGGTGCATCCGGGTTTGGGTACGTGTCTGGTGGTGAGCTTGTGGTACTTCCGAAGGTTGTTTTAGTTGATTCCTTATAGTTTGTCGTTGTTACCGTGCTTCATAAGGTTAAATCCTTGTCGTTCTAGGTTGTAGGTGACATATGCGAGGGCTTGGCGTTGATATTGGTGCTTCCTGCAACGGTCTTTGTTGCAGAGCGAGAATTCCTTTTGTCCGCATTCGGCGGCTCCGTGGTCCTCGTGCTATTCGTTAAGCTTGGTCATGATATGTTGTTTGCACAGTAGTAGCTTGTAGTTGATAATATTGGCTTCGTTACATTGGTCTGTGAGCAAGATATCGTCGACGAAGTAGATGGCTGATTTTAGTGACTTGGCCACCGGGTATTCGTTTGCATTGGTCTCGATGTATTGTCGAAACCGATTTCCGGGCAATTGGATCCGGTCGTAGGCAGTGCTTAGATCAATCTGTTTAATCTATCCCCATCGTTCAAGGAGTCTCTGTTATTCCTCGAGTTCTTTTTATCGTACGATTTCGTCGTAGCGTTAGTTTTCTTCAATAATACCTTGGATTCCGTGTCGATCTTCGTATCGTTCCCAGTCCGCTGTAGTCATTTTACAGGGGTGGTAAATGCTTTTAGGTTCTACTAACCTACATTAGTCGCACATACGTTTTTCAAGGTCGTTAATTTCTTCCTAAGTCATTCCTTCGCAAGGGTTATATTACATCGGAGGTGCTGTGTCTGGAAGATCCTCGTTATGCTGGCGTATAGCTTCGTTTTATTTCCATTCTCAGAGTACCTCTTCCTTATCCCCGAATTTGTCGTTCTGTTCTTACTCGTCGAGGCTTTGTTAAACAAGTTGTTTAACGTAGCTGAGGTCCTCCTAGGTGACTTCTTCAAGCGTGTTCAAGGTTTGTATACGCCCTTTGGGGTACTATCCCGATCCTTGTTTATCGCTGCGATGGGTCTGATAGTTATTATCGTAGCACGCTGAGAAGTGTAGGATGTCATGGTCTTCCGAGGGTCGCATAGTATTAATAGCTCGGTTTTCCTTAGGCTCTGGGACAGGCGTGAATTTTTTGTTTCTTATCTTTTTGGCGGGCTTTCGACAGTACTTTTTCACATATCCTTTTTCTCCGCAGTTGTAGCATTCAACGTTCTTGCGTTAAGCTTCGATGGTGCTAAGGTCCATTGGCCCTGGCTTCCCATCATTATATGTTGCGAGATCTCTCTTTTTCCCTTGGTTGGCGTTGTTACCAGAGTAGAGATGCTTCGGGATTGTTTTTTGCGGATTTCCTTCTCGCTTGCGTTCTTGGCGCCGTTGGAATTGTCGTTCGTCGATGCGAGTGGCTTTTTCCGCGAGTTTGTCAAGGGTGTCGGGTTTCTCATCCCTGGAGAGTTCATCCTTGACATCTGAGTTAAGTCCTTAATAGTAGAGCATGCGTTGTACTTCATCGTTTAGGTTAGTCCTGGCAGCTAGGCGTATGAAAGCGGCAGTGTACTTTGCACAGGGTCCTTTTTGTTTAATCTGAAGGAGCGCGTCTTCGGCTTCTCTAGACTCGTCGGTTTTTCCGCATAGTTTCTTAAGCTACTGTTCGAACGTGGCATAGCTTGCGAACAGGTCGAGTGTATACTGTTTCTTAGGGGTCTTGGTCTGTTCATAGTCCCTGAGGTGGGGTTTAAACCAGTCCTTGGCGGTTTTGGCTAGGCAGCTTCCTACAGTTTGAATTCTTATAACATCGTCGGCCATAGTGGTTGGGAAGTAGCTGAAGTAGTTTCTCATGTCGGTAAAAAACTTTTAAATCTGCTTGGGCTCTCCTTCGAACTTGTCTGGCAATGCTGGTTTAATGATTTCTCCGGGCTCCCGTTGTCGTGCCACAGGGGCTAGGTTAACCACGGGGTTTACCACTGGTTGCATCACTGGTGGTTGTCCTTGTTGTTGGCCTTGCAGTGTTTGGAGTTGTCCCGTGAGTCTTTGTATGGTGGCAGCTTGTTGTTGCACAAGAGTTTCTAGGTTTACAAGTCTTGTCATGGCGGCGTGTTCTTGCTGCTCCTCGGTGGGATCCTCGTAGGTTTCGCCAGGGTTGACGTCCTGCATTTGGTCGGCCATTATATCTTATTACCCGTAGGTCCAAGGTGACCGTCCGAACAAGAGTTGTTATCGTGTAACGAACCGGGTCCTATAGGCACTATAGGTTAGCTGTTTCCAAGGGACAAACCTTAGAGTGGTTCTATGGTTTATGTTGGCGGAGCGATCAGGTCGGTAACGGGCAATCTTATCACCAGCTAGTAATACAAATAAGAGTAGATGTCTGTGTTCCAATCTGATTGTATTATAAACGCTGTAATAACAACTGGCTATCTAAGTATTCTAATGAGTGATATGAAGTGAACTTATATATCCAGTTGACCTGGACTGGATCATTGACAAGTGTAGATGATCCTGCCTTAGATCTTTAGAATTTCTGATGATCCAGCTCATGGATCATTGGATCATTAAATGATCTAATGATCCGTGTCTGATTAGTTGGTCGGTCCGATGTTTATCCGTGACCGTCTAACCGGTAGACCCATTGTTGCGACTATAAGAGCCAGGTCGTGACAAGTACTTTAAAAGCTTCTAAGGCCTTCCTTATATATTTAATTAGTTAATTTTTCTTTTTATTATTTAAATCCTTTTTAGTAAAGTCTATAAGTAGTATAGTAATTTTACTATAGTTTTAAATAAATTATTAATAATAATTAACTAGTTTAAGGAAACTTTATACTTCTTTAACTATTTTAAGGACCTTTTATTTTATAATAGCTATTACTTTAGCAGGGTTTATCTTAATATATCCTAGTAAAATAATATATCTTAGAAATTTAACTTCCTAAATATAAAATTAATACTTTTCTAATTCTATTAATAAATTTACTACTTATAGTATTTCTAAAACTTAATATATATATTACTTATACTTTTCTAAGGTATTAAAGTAAATTAGTATATTATTTAAGTATATAATAATAAACTTATTAATATATTCCTTAAGGACTTTATTAATTATTTTTTAAAATATAGCTAATATATTAGTAAATCTAAAGGGTATAATTAAATACTTAAATAGTCTACAGTATATTTTAAATACTATTTTCTATTTATCTCCTTCTTTAATTTAAATAAGGTTATAAGCTTCTCTTAAGTTAAAAGCTATAAACTATTTTACAGTAGCTAGTCTATTTTTAATTTTAAAAATCAGTAGTAGTAGGGTTTAATCTTTAATAGTAATTTTATTAAATTATTAATAATTAATAACTAGTTATAACTTCCTATTTTTCTTTAGTATAAATATTATAGGGTATTTTACTAATAAATTAAAAACTTAAATATATTCTTTTTCTAATTATTTATTTAACTATTCCCTTAAGGTTTTAAGTTCCTTTTTATTAAGGTTATAGATTTTATAAATCTTAGGTTATTTTCTATTTATTAACTTAATAAAGTAATCCTATTATAAGTATAGTAGTAACCTAGTATTTAATATTACTTTATATAGTTTTTTATATTTTTTATATTAATAAAATATTTTAGTAAAGGTATTTTTAAATTTTTTTAATTCCTTTTTTTTTTATACTTTACTTAGTACCTTATTAAGTACTACTAGCTTATCTTTAAATTATATTATAATTCTATTTATATAAATGTATTTTACCTTTTTATATTATTTATTATATTATAGTAATACTAGTAATTTATTTTCTTTAAACCTAACTATTTTTATTTTTTTTATAATTAATATAAAGCATTCTAGTTCTTCTAGCAGCACAGCTTTACCTTTTTATTTTCTTTAATATAATTAATATTTAAATATATCCTAAATATCCTAATAAACCTTCTTAGTCTTCTATTAGATAATAAGGTTATTATTAAGTAACTAGGGATAGCCTAAAAGAATATTATCCTTTAGTATATCTAAAATACTAAATTAAATATTATAAGTATTCCTATTAATAGTTATAGGGAGATAATTAATCTTATATTTAATAAATCCTTCTTTTACTTCTGCTTCTATAACGTTTATAATTTATAATACTTATTCTTTTTTTTAAATAGGGATTTATAGTTTCTTAATTAGTTAAAGTAAGATTAAATTATAATTTAATTTACTATTAATATAAATAGTAATAGTATATTTTCTAAATTATATATTAACCCTAAGTTTCTTTATTTTAGTTATTTTAACTATATTAACTTATATTTTCTCTAGAGTATAATCTTCCTTTATAATATTATATATATATACATTAGTATTAATAATATTAAGGTTATTAATTTTTTATTGTTATATTCGTTATTATTAAAACTTTTAATATTATTAACACTAATGTATATATATATAATACTTATAAAAGTATATAATATCCTTCTGGTAAACGTAGCCTTTAGCGTAGGTTTTAAAGTTAAATCTATTATAGTATAACTATTAATAAAGTTATTAATAATCCTCTTTTATTTATTAATATTTTTTATAATCTCTATTATAGTATTATAAGAAGTTAAGCTTTAAATATTCCTTCTTTTAATTATACTATTCCTTAACCTTATAGTTAAGGTAGTTACTATATTATTAATTAGTATAATTTTCTAAATTAAATTTAGTATAATCTTTATTATATAAATTATTATTTTAAATTTAATAGTATTAATTATAAAGTTTAGTTTCCTAGTACTTAGTATATAATAACTTATTATATTATCCTAAGGGTAAATATTTATAGTTTTTAGTAAATAAAGTATTATACTTAAGCTATATTTCTTCTTATTCTAGGAACTAGTCTTTAGTTATAATAGGGTAGTAGAGGTCTACGTTAGCGTATTCCGCTAGCCTATTGTTATTTAACATTTATTATTAAGTAATCCTATACTATTTAAGTATTTATTAAAATTTACTTAAGTCTTATTCTTAAGTTCCTTTTAAACTATAGTTAAAGGGTTTTTATCCAAAGGGGTAATTTAGTCCCTAGGGTTCTTATAATCTACAGTTTTTATATAGTTCTATAATATTAAGGTTAATATAACCTATTTTTTATTTAGGTTCTTCCTTCTATTTATAAATAAAAGTATTTACTTATTCTTTTTTTTCTTTTATAGGTAGAATATTAAGGGCTTTATTTTATACTTCTGTTATAACCTAGATCTTATGGTTGCGATAATGGGCCTATAGGTTAAACAGTTATAGATAAACGTTAGACTAACTAACTAATTAAATAAGGATTATTAGATTATTTAATAATCTAATGATCTATAAGCTGGATTATTAGAAATTCTAATAATCTAAGATAGGATTATTAAATTCTTTAATAATCCAGCCTAGTTAACTAGGTATATAAGTTTACTTTATATTATTTATTAAAATACTTAGATAGCTAATTGTTATTACAGCGTTTATAATATAATTAAATTAAAATATAGATATTTATTTTTATTTATATTACTAGTTAATAATAAGATTACCTATTTACTAACCTAACTACCCTGCTAATATAAACTATAGAACTACTTTAAGGTTTATCCTTTAGAAATAGCTAACTTATAATACCTATAGAACTTAGTTTATTATATAATAATAACTCTTATTTAAATAGTTACCTTAGATCTATAAGTAATAAAATACTAAGAACTTAATAGTCTATAAGCTTTAGAGTTTTAAATAATAATATTAATTATAAAATCTATAACTTTAGTTTTTATAAAACTAATAAAAAATATTAATAATAGATTAATACTCTTTTGAATATATACCCTTTTATATAATATAAGGATTATAAACTACTTATAAATAAGCTATATATATTTTATAGATTTTATAAACTTTTTAATAATAGTTACTATATATATAACTTTAAAATAAACAAAAACTATAATAGCCTCCTAAATACTACTTACTTAATAAACCCTATATAAGTAGATCCTCTTAAAGGATTAATATAAGAAGAAATTAATAACTTTAAAATATATATATATAACTAATGTAGGTTAGTAAAACCTAAAGGTATTTACTACCTTTATAAAATAACTATAGTAAACTAAAAATAATATAAAGATTAATATAAAATCTAAGGTATTATTAAAGAAAATAAATATTATAATAAAATTATATAATAAAAAAAACTTAAAGATTAATAAAAACTCCTTAAATAATAAGGATAAATTAAATAAATTAATTTAAGTACTACCTATAACTAAATTTAATTATTTAAAAATTAGTTTTAATAATATATTAAGACTAACGTAAATAAATACTTAATAGCTAAAATACTAAAATTAATCTTATATTATATTAATAATATTCTACTTATAAACTAATATAATAAAGCTAATATTATTAACTATAAGCTATTATTATATAAATAATATATTATAATTAAACTTTAGGAATAGTATAAGGACTATAGGGCTATAAAATATAAATAAAAAAAATTTACGCTTTATAATAAAAATTATTATAAAAAACACTAATATTAATACTAAGCCCTTATATATATTACCTATAACCTAGAATAATAAAGATTTAACTTTATAAAGTATAGTAATAATAATAAACTATAAGGAATTAATTAAAATAACTTTCAAAAATACTATAAGCTTACTACTAAATATATACTTAAGCTTAAATATACTTAGTATAAATACTATAATATTTAAAATAAAAAACTAAAATAGATTACCTTAAACTTAGATAATATTAATATTAACCTTTATAATAATAATTATTATACTAATATTAATAATATAACCTACTATAACCTAAATACCTTTATAAAAGGAAAGAAATTATAAAACTTCTAAGTACTAGATACTTTAAAAAAATATTTAATTATAATTTATATAAACTTTAAAGCTATAATAAGTTATATTATACCTTAATTAATTAATTACCTATAGTTAACCTATTATAAAAAAAAGAAACTATATACCTTTATAAGTATTAAAAAATAATAATTTACCTATAATAATAAAACTATTAATTATAAAACTAATCCCTTTAAAATTTAGTTTAGTAAAATTAAGGATATATTTAGTTTTAATATTATTAATATTATAAAATATAATATACTTTTAAGATATAATTAGCTTAAGTTATATAACCTTAATATTAATTAAGTTAGAGGCTAGGTAAAATAGTAAACTTACCTTAAATTNATTAATTTTAAAAATATATTATAATTAAATTAAGAAAATTAATAGGATACTATAATATCCTTAATAATAGGATTAGTAACCTTTATATTATATAAAGAAATATAAAAATATATAAAAAAAGAAAAAGTTATAAAAAAAATATAATTTAAGAAGCTAGTAAAGCTCCTAAGGATAATTAAATATATTAAAAAACTAAAGAAAAAATAATTTAAATTTTTTAACTTAATTATATAAAAGGTTAAAAAATTATATTACTAAAATTAATAAATATTAAAATATTTAAAAAATATATTAACTAACCTCTAGTATATATTAATCTTTAATAAAGAATTAAATATTAAATTACTAAAATATAATTAATAAGATTATAAAATTAAACTTATAAATAATAAAGTTTTAATATTTAATAAGATTTATAACTTAAGTATTACTAAGCTTAAAATACTTAATAAATAAATTAGGGACTAGCTAAAGAAGAGCTATATTAAACTTTTTAAATCCTTAGTAAAATATTTAATTATATTTATACTTAAAAAAAATAGTAAACTTTAATTTATTATAAATTACTAATAATTAAATATAATAACTAAAAAGGATATTATACTACTACTACTAATTTTAGAAATTAAAAACTAGCTTATAAAAGCTAAGATTTTTACTTTATTAAATTTTAAAAAAGTATATAATTTTATTTAAATTAAAAAAAGTAATAAATAAAAAACTACCTTTTATATAAAATATAGATTTTATAAATACTAGGTAATACCTTTTAAACTTATAAATACCTTAGTATTTTTCTAAAAAATAATTAACTATATATTATAAAACTATATAAATTATTTTATTATTATATACCTTAATAATATTTTTATTTACTTTAAAAACTTAAAAAAATATAAGGAATATATTAAAAAGGTATTATAAATATTTTAAAATAATAAACTTTTAGTAAAACCTAAGAAATATAACTTTTATATATAAAAGGTTATATTTTTAAAATATATTATTACCCTAGGTAAAGTCTAAATAAACTTTAAAAAACTTAAAGTAATTAATAATTAAAAGCTACTTAAAAACATTAAGTAAGTATAAAGCTTCTTAGGATTTGCTAACTATTATTAATACTTTATTAAAGAATTTTTAAAAATTACTATACTATTTATAAATTTAATAAAAAAAGATATTAAATTTAAATTAATATAAAATACTTTAGCTACTTTTAAATACTTTAAATAAGCCCTTACTAATATATTAGTATTTATAATATTTAACCTAAATAAATTTATTATAATTAAAACTAATACCTTAAATTATATAATTAAAGGAGTACTTAGTTAACTAAATAAAAAAAGGAAACTTAAGCCTATTACTTACTTTTTTAAAAATTATATAAACTAAAACTTAGATATTTTATTTATAATAAAAAGTTTATAATTATATACTAAGTACTTAGTAAGTAGTATTAGAAATACTATTATAAAAAAAGTTGATTTTTAATAATAATTTTTATAGATTACTAGAATATTACTTACTTTATAATAATATAAAAACTATTTATAAATAAGTTAAGTATTATAAGTAATTTTCTAAGTTTAAGTTTATTATTAAATACTATAGTAAATTAAATAACAGATACGCTAATATACTTAGCAGATGCTTAAACTACTTTTAAGAAATCTTAGAAGTTAAAGTATAAATACTAAAGAAAAACTAGTATAAAGACTTAGTTATTTAATTAATTAATACCTTATACTAAATTAAAATAGATAATTTAATTATTAATAATATAAAAAAATATATTAAGAACTAGGAGAATAAATAATACTTAAAAGGTATTTTTATAAATATTAAATACTTAATATTAAATAGATTTATTTAAGTACTAGAAGATTTATAAAGTAAAGTAGTAAAATTAATTTATATATATAAATTTAATAAATACTATAAAATTAAAAAAACTATATAGTAAATTATATAATACTTTAAATTTAAAGGAATTAAGAAATAGGTATAGAAGGTTATATTAAAATATATAATATATAAATAAGCTAAAAGCTTTAAATATAAGCTATATAAATAACTGTAACTATTACTTATACTACAGAGACTATAGAAATTAATCTTATTTAACTTAATTACTAAACTACCTTCTTTAAAAAAACTAATTATAAAGGTACTTATTACAATCTATTCTGCCGTAACAGCTAGATCCCTTATACATAGCTAGTTCCACTATAATAATCGCTATAATTAAGATTATTAGCCTAATCTTTTACCCTATATAGCGTAACGGTTAGTGGACTGTAATAGTACTTTATAATAATATCTTTATAATAGTTAATAGATTTATAAAAATAGTTTACTTTATATTATTTAAGGAAGTTAGTAATATAAAAAAATTAGCTTATGTAATAATAAAATATATTATAAGTAACTATAAGCTACTGGGAGATATAATCTTTAATAAAGGAAATATATTTATATTTAAATTTTAGAAAATACTTACAGCTAAACTAGGAATAAATTATAAAACTAGCACAGCCTACTACCTATAGATAGATAAATAAATAAAAAAGATTAACTAAATAATTAAAATTTATTTATACTATTATATTAATTTTAAGTAAAATAATTAAGTAGAACTATTCCCTATTATATAATTTACTTATAATAATATAGAATTTAAATTAACTAAGAAATTACTATTTTTCTTAAACTATAGATTTAAACCTAAAGTTTATTAATTACTAAGGTAAAGGGAAAATATTAAAAAAGCTATAATTAAAGTAAAAGATATAATTAAATTATATAATAAACTATAATAATAACTTAAGTTTATTTAATAAAGGATAATTAAATATATAAATAGAAATAGGATTAAAGGACTAACTTTTTAAAAAGGGGATATAGTTTAGCTTTACTAATATATATAAGGAAATAAGTAAGTAAATATTAAAATAAATAGGTTAAGTAATAAACTTAATTTTAAAAAACTTAAACTTTATAAAATTTTAAGAAAAATTAAAAAAGTAAATTATAAACTTAAACTTNTAAAATAATAAGAAAAACAAAGGAAATATATATATTTAATATTTTATATCTTCCTATTAGAAAAAGTATAAATTAATAAAAAAATTAGAAAATTTTTTTAGAATAAAATTATTATTAAAAAAGAAAAAGAGAAATATAAAGTAAAGGATATTAATATAATAAAAATAGGAGAAAATAGTAAATAATACTATAGGGTAT